GGACACCCAGGCTGAGCGGGCACCCTGTCCGAGCGGGCGCCCAGGTCGAGCGGCCAAACGGGGGCGGGGGTGCAGAAGCCCCGTGGGGATGAAGGACATACGGCGATGCATAATGTCACTGATTTATACTCACTCAATAGACCTGTAATGTGGCATTTCAGCCACGTCCATCTGCTTCAACATCCCAACACCTCAAATTTTGTTTGCACAGTTGCCAGGACGGTTAACGACAGTCAGTACTCCCCGCGCCAATGTTTGCCGGTCAATAACTCAAGGTATGAATGCCTGATACCCGAAGCCCAGTCCGGTGTGGAGCAACAATACTGCTGCGATGTTGAGCGGGCGGGGGAGGTGCAACGACCTTTCCTTTGGCGGTGGTCGTGGCAGCCATTTTCTGGTGTGAGGTCGCCGCGCACCCGGGTGCGGCACGGACCAGCCTTTCCGGTTCGGTCGGTTCGTGCCTCACGACCTTTCTGTGGGCACGGGACCGCGTGACCGGTCCGCGCGTGCCACGTTCACGGCTTCCACGACGCGGGCTACGTCCGGCCGGGCCGAGGTCGCCGGCCGGCCGCGAACGTGTCTGCCCCGGGGCCGGGCCGCAGAAGCGCCGACCTGACCTCACGGAGGGCCGGAGTGGGCGGCCTGGCGCTCCGCCGCCGCTGTGCCCCCCCCCCCCCCCCGCCGTCAGCTGTCCGCCGGCCGGCGCTGCCAACCCCAGTCAGCCGACGACGCTCGCGCCGGCCGGACGCGCTGGGGCTGCCGGCGGCGGTGGATTCAGCTGGAGCGAGTGGGCGCCGAGTCCGTGTGAGTACACCGGAGCAGCCTGCCGACTGGTCTCCGCCTGGCAGTGCGCGGCTGTGACCCGAGGTAGTCACGGCTCGGCCGCCTTGCTCGGCCAGACGTCACGGCCGGGGCAGAGCCGGCGAGCGGTGCTTATTGGCGGCCATACGGCTGCGCATGGGTCGGCGCAGCCGGCTCGGGCGCGCCTGGGCCGGTGGGGCTCTAAGCGATGCGTTGTTGCGCCACAAGATCGTGCCATGATCAAGGCTTGTGTCGTTTCGAACGGAATGGTAGTCTTGGGTGCGAAGCTGTCGGACAGTCAGCCAGCCCGCTCTTTTGTGTGGGATTGCAACACGTGAGGGCTCCGTGTCACGAGCGGTTGGGTTACACTCGGCGCAGGCTAGTTGTGCGGCCGAGAGAGAATCGGTGCCTTGGCTGTGTGGCTGATGGCCATGTGACATCGACTCCAGCGGGACAGATACCGCCCCGGCCCCGACCATATGCTGTGCACTCCGGCTCCGACTTCGAGCACCCCAGCAGTTTAACCTTTTAGGTCGACTACGGCTCGGCTCTGGGGCGTATGGCTCAATGCCAGAACGTAGTTCGGGGCTGTCTATTATAGCAGCACTGAACAGACATCTAGACTAGAACAGACATCTGTGCGTTGGTCTTTGCAAAAGGTAGTGTAGATTCCACATATTTTTTATTTGAATTGTGAAGCGAATGGAACTCTCTATTTCCTCTGACGTTATGAGCAGACAGATTAAGAATATCTTAAAGTCATTAAATTGTCTTCAATTTCGGCCGACTTGGTGATCCAACTTTGGCACCAAATCACAAACATTCAAAGATCGATCCCCCGTGACTTGGCATCATTTATGTTACTTGATGAGTCGGTTCCGATTTAATATCAAGTCAAGGACAAGTCTGCGGCATGCGTACTTGAGCTGGCGTTCTCAAAGTGGAATGTGCACCGTATTTCTGTAGCACAGCGTATGATTATTCGGGCATGCAAGCAAGAGCCACGAACTAGCTGTCCATTGTTTGTCTCCGTGGCATTTAGTAGTTCTCACCACACCATGACGGGAGGAGTGTCAAGGACGGGAAGGAACGTCTTCGATGCCGGGTGCCGACCGTCATCGATGCCGGGTGCCGACCGTCATCGATGCCGGGTGCCGACCGTCATCGATGCCGGGTGCCTACCGTCATCGGCGGCGGGTGCCGACCGTCATCGGTGCCGGGTGATTACCTTCATCTGGGCGCCATCGAGCACCAACAGTCGATCCCATTGCTGCACGTTCGTGAAGCTTGGGTTGGCGCGCGTCAGGTCGCTCATGAAGAAGAATCCTGTCGGTGACAATAGGCTGTAGTGATCTTTTCTTCACCGGTTGTGGTGAAGCGTCTTTAAAACAATATCCGCAGTAAACGAAAACGCTTTCTTCTGTCACGGACGTTCCCATGCTGGATATTACATGTCACGCTGCGCTCTGTTTTGGGGCTGAAGCGCGCCAAAGCCACCACCAGATGCTCTCTCGCGCCTTCTCGTGCCGCGTGATAAATACCACCTGGTGAGAACACCTCGCGCAAACTTCCGACAAACGCCCGGCCCCGTCGGCGAGAGTCCGGGGCCGATGCTTTCGATTTCGCGGCTGGTCGAGGCAGTCACGGTCGGTTCCATACCACTCTGGCACCTGCCGGTCGGCTCGGCCGCTTGCGTAACGCTCCTGCGCTGCCGGAGAGCGGCGGCCGGCCCGCCCGCCGCCTACGGCACGCGTCACGGACCTGAGGACGGTGTGACAGTCCCTGGAGCGGCGCGCCGCCCCGTGCCGTCGGTGGTGACGGCCGTGCCGCTCTGTTCACGGTCGGCCGGTGTCTGTCACGTCGCTCCGAGTCGCTCCGCTCACATGTTGCTCGGTGGTCTGTGTCGGTCCGAGTCCCTGCCTGGTTTGCGGGCTGACGAGGGTTCGGTGCTGCCCCAGGTTGGAGCTCGCACTGGTGTTTTACCGGCGCTGGAAATGGGCCCGTGTCATTGATGCACTTGCCGACAGCTGCCGAAGGCCCGTCGGTAAGCCCAGCGGGTCAGAAGCCCGGCTCAGGTCGCGACCGGACTGCCACTCGCCGGGCCGCGGCGTACCGTCCGTACTGACCGTGCCGACGGCCGACCTTTCCGGCGGCAGTGTGGACCGGGTACAGCGGCGGGCGGTGGCCGTCGGCAGGTGGCAGTAAGGTCCGGTCGCCGGCGTTAATTATCCAACCTTTGACCTGTCTGCAAACACCCCGGCGCCATTTTCGTGGACGGTTCGGTGAGCGCAGCAATAACATGCGTACGCGCGCCGATCGTTCGTGGTGTACAGCCGTGAGTCGGCTAGGGGAAGGCTGATTTCCCGGGGCGTCAATGTGTAGTATTTGAATGTGTTGCTTTTTACATTGTGTACGATCCAAAGGACTGCGATGAAGTCGAAGCAAGGGAAAGTACAGTACATGAGGTGTGGTAAAAGGCACAATTTCAGCACTTCTCCTTTGCCGAACGCCTGTTTCAGCATTTTACCAATGCCAATCTTTCATTACTATCCAGCCGTGCGGGTTTCAGTCTGCCATTCAGGCCTTTCCAGCTATCATAGAAGCGTTCCACGTTGTCCATCGCATTGGGAATGGACGCTGTTTTGAAGGGCAAATTTAGTTCTGTGCGCTTGATCCAAGAGATCGAGCCCATGGAGAGAGCGTGTCAAACTGACCTCCGTGTAGTGGTTCTTTAGCGCCTCCCACGCCCCCAATTTTTTTTTTTTGCCACCAGCGAGCACCTTCGAAAGGAAAGGGCCATGTTTCGGGGGATCCATGTTAAAAATGAATAGGCGAACGAAATACCGATCGATGACCGCTTTTCGCGATCAATCGATCTCTATCTCTCGGAGATAGAAAGATCAAATGCCAATTAAATCAAATCAAATTCGCCAAATGCGCCGAAGTCTGGCCAGATGTTGCCAAATTGTCGGAAGAAGGCCCTGTCTACCAGATCTGACGAATTTCTACAGTTCTAGCGAAATGTTGAAAAAATTGTTTTCGGTCCGGTGGGCCGGCCGCGCTGTGAACCGGGCTTGAGCGGGCTCTGTAAGGGTGATTACCGGAGATGACGAGTTGAAGTATTCAAATGTATTACTTGCTTCAGAGAAACAATACTAAGGACTCGCAATGGAATCGCGTAGGTGGAAAATACCACAAAGGGTGTGACAAAGCCCACAACTCCCTACGAACAACTGGGCACAAGTTTAGCATTTGTCCCATGCGGGCCGTTTGTTTCAGCTTTTTCGTGTGTCAACACTATTATTTTATTGTTATCCGCCTGTGCTGTTCAAGTTTACCATTCAGGGAATCGGGGCTCACCAACCTTCACAGAACTGTTTCTCGTTTTCCTCCCGAGTGCCACCTTTGCAAGCACATCATTAGTTATGGACGTAATTTTGGGGTGCGCCCGTGCCATTTTTAAAGCGCTGCTCGCCGCTGCTGTCGCTCCCCGGCCGGCCGCCGCCGCCCCACCCAGCACGTGACGGGCGTCGGCCGGCCGGGTGTGACGGGGGCGGCCAGGCACGTGCATGGCCTCCCGCCGGCGCTATTTGGCCGGTTATTACGGCTGGGCGAGCTCCGACGAGGCCGTGCTAGTCACGCAGCAGAGCCGCCGCCGCCGCTGCGCAGATGGGCCTCGTCTGCGGGCTCGAGGGCCGGGCTTCGAGCGCCGGCTTGTCGGCCCGGGCCGCCGGATCGCTCCATACGTAGTTACAAGGATTCATTTCGCGAGTGTCGCCGGAAGCAGTGGGGTGGGAGGCGCGTGAGACGCGGGAGGGGGCGTGTTTGTGTCATCATGCTCGGCGGAGCGCGGCCACGGTGCCGCCCCCTGCTTGTGCTGCACAAACACGGAGACTGGTCTTCATGCTCGATGTCGGGTCGAGAGGGTGTCTTTCGTCGGAAGGCAGTCACTGGGTGTGATGCTTTCATAACATTGGCCAGAGCAAGAAATACGAAACCGACGGCTGTTTGCTATTGTATATCATTGTGACTTACAGGGTTGCACACAGCATATAGTTCCTGTGCTGTCTACCTACTAACGCGAGCTCCTGGTGTCATACGTTTGTCGAGACTGACAGTTACGAGAGAAGTTGTTTGCGAGCGTCGATGCGGCACGGACGTTAAGTTGTCTTTAGATTCTGCCCTGTCGATGTTCGCAGGCGTGACGTTCAGCAGCCCGCTTTTCTTCTCCGAAAGGCCACCCACCTCGCGCCATGGACCACTCCGGCCACAACATGGACCACTCCGGCCACAGCATGGATCACTCCGGCCACAACATGGACCACTCCGGCCACAACATGAGCGCTATGGACGCGGCCAGTGCGGTGGTGAACGCCTCGCTGGCGGCGGCCACCACGGCCGCCAGTGAGCTCGCCACCGCCGTTCACCAGCACGTCACGGGACAAGGTGAGCTGGGCTCGGTGTGAGCTAGGCTCGGTGCTGGCGGCGAGAGAGCGCGCCGGCGAGCTGGCCTGCTGCCGGGGGCGGCGGCCGGCTCTGCTCCGTAGTTGTGTGTGCGTGTGTGGAAGGCTCGTCCGCACGCCGGTGGTGAGTGCGCCGAGCCGCGGCGCTGTCAGGGCACGTGGAGTCGGCGGTGCGCGCGCCGCCGCCTGCGCCGCGTGACGCTCGGTCGGCGCTGTTAGTCACTGTTGACACCGGCGAGGCGCCGTGTCCTCGCGGCCGGGTGTCCGCTGCCGTGTCTCTCAGATAAGGCGTCGGACGCTGCGACGTGCACTGGCGGGACTCGCCGAGGCGGGCGCCACCTGTGGCCGGCGCGCGCGCCGCGGGGTCGCTCGGCCGCCGAGATAGGCGCCGGGGGCCGCGTGTGACTCGGCACCTGTCGGCGCCCGCCGCCCCCCGCTATCGGTCGGCTCCAGACGGTAGGGGTGCCCGGCCCGGCGTGCGGCCGCGCCGGAAGCGGACCAGATGTGTCGCCCGTCGCCAGACGTCGTCTGGGCGCCGCGAGCTGTGGAGCCGCCGCGGACGGGACGGGACGGCTGCCACGCCCGGCGCCCTGGCCGAGCCGCGCAGCTGGAGGGGCGGGGCCAGCAAGGCCAGCGACAAAGGACGGCGGACGTCTGCCGCGGCCGAGCGTCAGGCGCCTGTCGCCGGCGGGGCCGTTGTATGGGGTGTTGTCGGGTGATGTACCGTACCGTTCCCACTCGGTTCAAGGGCAGTCCAGAACTCGTTGCTAGAAAATCTCGTAAAAGATCAATTGTTTAGGTTGTTTCATGCGAGATTCCTAGTTGTGAGTGAGTACCTTCCATCTAGTTTCAAGGCTGCAGTTTTCTGCACTTAGTCGTATTGTGGTGTCGGTGTAGCGTTTTGTTTAGTGATTTGCGTGGAAGTGAAAGGACTGACAATTTACACTCGAGATACCTCTGCACTGTTATGACGGACAATTCAGTGATGTTTGCGATGGCTCAAAACTGTTGGGGAAGCCGGGGAATGAACTGTCAGGGGAGGACGGGAGGAGGTAGGGGCGGGGGGCGGGGCGGGTGGGGAGCGGTATTGTGTCAGCAGCGAACGGCAGGCAGCACGTGCCCAAGACGCAGCTGCACATGACTTCTTACGTTACCGGCGCAGTGATTATGCGTCATAACTTCATTTTTAAGAGAGTTAAGTGTGTGTCGCGGCAAGGTTCAAATAAGCGCTGCGTGATTCAGACTGCTGCCGTTCCAAACCTGTTCAGTAACGCGGGGAATTAGTTTGTTGCTGCGACAAGGGGCTGAAGGGCACAACAGCCACCAGCATGGCGCTGGTGACATTGCTTTTTGGGGGTGAACTGCTCCCAATGACGCAGTCGCACGGCCACTGCCGCGATCTGAGCGAGCTCCGTGGTGTGACGTGCAGATGGTGTCCGTATCGCGGTTTTGCACCCAGATTGGCACATCGGCTACTCAGGAGTCCGTCGGCGGCTGGGTAGCAACGATAGATGACGTGAGGTGATATGCAGCGTGTGTCGTGCAGGTGTTGGCATTATTTGGCTGGAGCAGTTTCTGTCACCCCGGCTTAAGCCGGCTGGCAGAAAGTGTTTGGGGGAACTTGCAGAAAATGTCATAAATCAGGTATTGCAGAACGCACTCTAAGCCAGTAGTGCTAAATGGGTCAGCTAGATCATGCTAAGCATAGTCAGTGGTAATGGCTGACTGCAACAACAGCAATCAGAGATGGTTAGGGAGATGCATGGCATCTATCGTTGTCAGGGAGATACCTGGCAGCTGTCGTTGACATGAATTAACCTTTAAAAAGATTTATCGCCCATCTTTGTGAAACAATCTTTCTAACAAGCGCTGTGCACCTCAAAGCAACGCATTGGGACAGTTTCTACCAACTGGTTAATCGGAGCCATTGAAGCAAGTTAGTCGAAGCTAGCAACGAGAAAATTCAGCTTGACCTGTTAACATGTTTTTGCGTTTTCTAATCCAACAAAATGGCGTCCCGCCGCCGAACAACTATGTAGTTGTTTATTTCACGTGCAACGACAGGTCCGTGAGAGAAAAGACTGAGAAAGCCAGCGTGAATGCAGAGGCCATATGAGCGCTCAGGCCAGTCGCTGATATGTTAAAACAGACAACTTTTGCGGTTTCTGGGCTAGCACCACCTCATGCGGTTGTCATGTAATGGTTGAAAAAAGGGAAGTGGCTGCAGCTGGTTTCGACCGGCTGAATTGCCAATCCTTGCGACCATTTCAGATTGGTAAAAGCAGAGAACTAGACCTACGTCTATGCGTGCGTCCTGTGTTTTTATTTTGTATGACGTTCGATACCACGTTGCATGGAGATAATTCTTGACATAGGAGTTGGTGGACGTAGGGGTTTTCCTTTTGATCGAAAAACTCGCATTCCACAAGTTTCCTAGGTTTGCACAAGTGTTTGGATATCTATTGTTTGGCTGACCCAAGTTTTTCGCGAATTTCACTGGAATCATGGCAGGCGCTGATGGTGCTGAACCGAAAGAAACTGTTGTGGGTCAGTACGATGCATCTTTTTTTGGTGCTACATAATTACTCTGGTACATAATTCCGCACACTGTTACCGTCGTTCGGCCATTGCAATGCCCCCTCTCTGTAATATTCGCCGCACGCAGCCGTAAATACCGGTTCGTTTGTTCAGTCAAGTGTCCGCACTCAACAAGTTTGTTTTGCCGTTTGCACCAGATAAGATAAGATTTCTCCGTCCTGAGGAACTCCGTCCCCGTCTGGAGAGAGGAACTGTTTGCTCTTCTTTCCGGGTCGCGGCGCGGATTTCGATAAGCGAGCGAGCTGCGTTGCTGCTTGCATTGCGTGGTGTGTGGACCCGGTAACGTCGGACGTGTTTTTTAAGAAGAGTCATACTGTGGTCCCTCATGTTATTATCTTAGCTACTTTTAACACATCCGTCCGGAACATCGGGCGTGATTCAAGTGGCCGGGTGACAGCGGTCTCAAGGTGACTCCGACAGCAACAGCTGATCATGTTTTATTGAGTTCGTAAGTTTTTAAGGTTGCTTAGCGTAGTACAAACGTGAGACATCGATCTGTTAGTCATGAAACCGTTCAGCTGACTCAAATGAATTAGACGAGTTATGAATGTTGTCAAGTGGCTCACTTATTTTGTATTTGTTGAGTAAGCTCGTCTGAGCTGTGAGGCCCGGTCACATGCGCTCAGAGGCGGACATTGAGTCTTCTTCACCATTCCGGGACAGGCGAGCAAAGTGAAGCGATCTACAGCCGGAAAGAGACAACATCAGATAACGATGTCAGGCCGTCAAAGATCGCCCGAAATAGTCCCGCCCCCCCCCCCCCTCCCCAGTGTCATACTCCCCTGCTCGTGAACAGCTCAAGACGCCATCCACGGCGCGGCCCGACACAGCCTGACACCGTGCCGTCTGTCCGGAGTGACGGCATCAACCACTACGTCGTTCGTGACGATGTCAGAACGCTGGATGCTTCTCGAAGCCAAAGACCACGTGTGAAAGGTGTCAGAAGGCCTTGCGTGTCTCGTGCTGCAAGCCGTACCTTGCGGGGCAGGCAGCATCGGCGTGCGCCTTGCGCGTATCGGATGTGGCTCATGCCATACGACCAAGCGTCAGATTTCCATAGCATTACTGGCTCGGCCGGGGTGATGTTAGTGCGCGGGCAAACCTGTCCATCGCTTGGATTTGTATCTGTAAAAACATTGTGTCATGTATGTGCTGTTGCACATTGTCTGTTTGGAATCGAGCGCAGTGTTGCGCTCTTATCAGCTGAAGTGGTGCTGCGGAGCAAGTGACTGAGCTGATATCTGCCTATACATTGCGACTCAATTTCAGGCCCGATAGCAGATGGTTTGGGTCTTTACGTCCTAGATGTTACTGCTGACAATGCATAGTTGCCTCCAGTGGTCGTTTGGTATCAAACAAAAGCTGCTCCAGATGTACCGTGGTTGTGAAGGTAGTCAGATAGGATGATGCGAAACAGTGAGATCGAAAGGAGCGTTGTGTCGGCATTTAGGATTGGCGATTGCCGACCATAGACTACAGGGATAGGACCAAGTGAGGTTATCTTTACTACACTAATAAGTCAGCTGGGCTGCGTAATCTTGCCGGGCTGTGCGATACGTAGAGACGGATGTATATAGTATGCGGCGCGTGTATAGTCCATAGCGCAGCGAGCGTTGATGTCTGAGGTGCGGTCGAAGCCTCTCAGCGCGCCGCGCAGTCTCGGTCGGTGCACGGGCGGCCGGGCGTAGATCATGAAACACCCGACGTCCTCATAAGAGGACTGCCGGACTACATACTTGGCATTAGCTACAGTATCGACATGTAGCGCGGTGCCTTGCGGATGTAGCACGGTGTGAAGAGCATTCGCCTGGCCTGTGATGACTCATGATCTTGTCACCCCCCACGTCCGCCCGGCCTGCGATGGCTCCTGATCGCCCCCTCCCCCGTCCTGTCCCGTCACCAGAGCCTAAATCCGCCCTGGTGACAGGACTCCTGAGTCCTGCTCCGCCGTCCCAGATGTGGGAGAGTGGTGCCAACACTTTTGGCTCTGCTCGGGAAGGGGTGACTTACGATAATGCCGTGCGTGGACGCAGGTACTGCCCATGGTCCGCGCTGGTGTGTTCTGGGCCGAGCGAATATTCTGCTCCACGTGTAGAGCGCGTCGTGCTCTGTCGTCACTCTTATGTATACCACACGACTCCGCGCTGAGTGGCGTGATGCGACGGTCCCCCACGGCCGTCCTGTGGTCGTCCCTCCGTCCGTCAGCCGATAGAGGACATTGCCAGCCGCGGCCGACCATCACCCTGACCTGGCCTGGCGTCGCTCTGCCCCCAGACATGGCCGCGGCCGGCTCGGGAACGGGCCACGGTGCGGGCATGGCCGGACACGACCACGCCCAGCACGTGTCCGCCGGCGCGGCCACCGGCGGACACGCCGTCGGACACACCGGCGGACATGGCGGACATGGCGGACATGGCGGCATGTCGGTGAGGGAGCCGGCGCGCACAACCCGCCGAGCTGGAGCGGCTCCGACTCCGGCAGGGTCGCTGTGGGCGGGAGAGGTCGAGTCAGGTCATGCCGTGGGGTCAGGGATTCAGTTGGTAAATTTGTTGCGCCGATGGTGGTGCGTGGTGCCAGGCATTCTACGTGTTACCACTCTTGGTAGATGTTCGCCAGCCAGACACTGGGTATGTTATTTGCATCTCACTATTGGTTGTAGTTGGCAATGCTAGTGATGTTTGCTCTGTCAATGCTCCGCGACAGTTTTACCTGTGGCTTATGGGCCGAACCCCAACGTGTATGTTCATATGACTGTGTTGCGCGGCGCTGTTCCGTCATGTAATTGGCGCATTATGTGTTCAGTCTTGTTTTGTGGTTTCCAACGCACGTGATTTGTGTTCTACGGTATGTTTTTTTCAACTATATCTTATCACCTGTACACCGTATTTGGATACTTTTGCACATTGTGTAGGTTTTTTTGTCTCCTCTATCGCTTGTCCCACGCACGGCAGGGATACGTATATGGTGGACATTGAGCTCCACTTCAGGACAATGTGAGCAAGCTTGGGCGCAGGCGTGGGCGTTTCACTGAAAATTCAACATTTCGCTGGCGGTCGCCAGTATTCTCAGCGCTCCGCCACCGCGAGAGGCAGCGGACTCTCCCCGCGAGGAGTGCCGTCTGCTGGACGTGGCCGCATGGGTCACACCCGGGGCTGACTGAGCGCGCTCGGTCGGCCCACCGGACGGCCTGGTCGGCCGCTGTCGCCGCCGGCGCCCACCTCGCCTGACCGGCTGACCCTATTGCAGATGACGTTCCACTTCGGTGTGAGCGAGTACGTGCTGTTTGACGCTTGGCACGTGACCACGGTGGGCGGCATGGTGGCGTCCTGTCTGGGCCTGTTCATCGTGGCGCTGCTGTACGAGGGACTCAAGTACAAACGGTACGTCTCGGCCGCTCTCTACAGGCGCCCCCCGCCCGCTCTCCCTCTCACTTGCTCCGGAACGGCGTGTGACTCCGGACGAAAGGGGAGAGGGCCCCCTCTGAGCCTCCCCGACCAGCGACGGTACAGCGCCGCCGGCCGGGGTATGGCGCGTTTGGGGCCTCACTGTAAGGGAGGGAGTTTACACGGACGCGGCGTGCGGTGCGCCGCCGCTCGTGGAGGGTCCGCCGACGGTGCAGATCAGTGTAGACCAACTGGGGTGTCCGCTGCCCGGCTCATTCCCCGGCCCTCGTTCGGGGTGAGGTGAAGCGATGGCTACATGGATGATCCAACGTGGGGGGTGTGCTGCTCAGACCACGGAGGCGCTGGGCGCGGACAGCAGCGCCGGTGCCACGTCATCCGCCCCGGGGCTGGCCATGCGGCGCGATGGCGCTTGTTCTTCGCGGGCAGCGAAGGGAGCGCAGTAGTGGCCAGGACTACCGGGTCCCGTATGCTCTGCAGTGGTGGGCCCTAGAATCAAAGGACTCCACTTCAGCCCGCAATGGTCTCCCCAGTCCTCTACGCAGTCTCCTCTGCATCCTCCCCTCTGCGTCATCGTTATCCATTGCCACGCATGATTGGGGAACATGGGGCGAACTAGCGCGATAACCATAAACCCAAGTATCCAACGATAGTCCGACATCCGGTCCAAGTTAACTCACGAATCTCGCGTCGACATCCACCGCTCGCTGCTCCCTGCTGAGTGAGCTGCGTCGCGGTCCTGGCTGCTGGAGACGCGACACGCACCTTGGAGCCGGGCCAGCGGTGCCCGCCTGTGGGGCGCCGGGCCCGCCCCCTGGCGGCCGCTCTCTGACGGTGGGCCGGCCCGTTCCAGCGAGGACCTGCTGCGCAAGAACGCCACCCGGGAGCAGTTCGACACGATCCGCGTGCCCAGTGACGGTGGCGTGACCGAGGTCACCACCGTCTCCAACTCGTGAGTACCGCCGACCGAGCTCCGGCCGAGCGGCGGGTCTGCCCCTCCGCCCGGCCGGTGCCGGACGGGCCGGGTGAGCTTGGGTGTGTTGTGCTGTGGGAGCTGGGTTGTGTGGTGCCGAGAGAGACAAACGCGCGCCGACCGTCCCGGAGGCAGCAGGTGGCTCTGTGGACAGAGACGTGGCCACACGCGGCAGCAGCAGCAGGGCGGCAGCGGCGCCTTCCCGCGCTTCTTGGTGGTGAGGGCAGCTGGTGGGTGATGGTGGGTGATGGTGGTTTGTGGATGTTACACATTGTCGCACTGGTTCCTGAGAATGCCGCTTGGTGTTGTGGTGTCTGTATCCATCACCTCCGCAGATCTGCGTTTGCCGTCTCCTAGTTCCCTGTGCATGCCTGCTGGAATGGCGGCCAAGCTTTGCCGTCCTCCACCGGCGCTGCGTACGGTTTAACTCGGGCAAATTAGCGTATTAACCGGCCATGCTATACAGACTATCCCCAGCTGGCTGCAAGGTGTTTCTTTAGCCAAATTATCCAACGGGCTAGCTCTCGTAGAACTGTGAAAGAGTCTGCACTGTGTGAAAAGTAAGACACCTCGCCGTACTGCCTGCTTGGGGCACGTGTGCGGTGTCGTTGCGTGCCGCGGGCGGCGCCGCCTGCGTCCGCGGCTGGCGTGTGTCAGTGCGGCGCCGCGCCGTGCCCGGTCGGCCCGGCCTCCGCTCTGACCGGGCCGGCCGGCTCTGCCCGTCCAGGGAGTACGGCGCCGCCTCGCACGACGCCGGCGAGCGCGGCTCGGAGGGCAGCGACGCGACCGAGAGTCGTCCGATCACGGCCTCCGGCCGGCGCAGTGAGGCCGCCTGCGCAAGGTAACGTGGTCCGCCCCGCCCGGCGGCATCACTGCCCACTGCCGCTCCAGCAGCGCCATCAGCATCAGCATACCGTGCCGCCCACCACGGTTGCGGTCATCAGCGTTCCTCGCCCACGTCTTCCGTCAGCCTCGCTCCTCCGACCACCACCACCATCACCACTCCGCGTCGCTCGCCGCCGCCGCTTGCCTGACTGCGGCTAGAGAAGCCACCATAGTTCAGCGCGTAGCCGCCAGGTTGCAGCAGCGGTCACCGCCGGCCGGCACACCAGTGGACTGGGAGAGAGAGTGAGGGAGAGAGAGAGATGAGGGTTGGGACTTCCCACGGGAGTAAACCGAGGCGTAACCCAACCAGAAGGCTGTGGCAGTGGGCTTCTATGCCGCAGTGCTGTTGGGGGCATACTTCCGTTCATGGGCGTGCTTCCATTGGGACTTCTGTTAGTCTCCCATTTAGTTGGTAATCCGATCTCTAACCTTGACGCTCATAAGTTTTGCGAGGGATCAGTTACTTGGCTGGGCTGTTTTTTACTTGTGTTGCGGGTTCGGGAGAAACTCATGAGGGTTCTTTGCACGGAGTTACCTGACGCATGCCCATTGCGTTTAATCTCAAAACCTCTGTCGTTGTTTTTTGGGGGAGGGAAATCATAAGCTGGGAGAAGATTGCATAGATCCCTGTAATGGTAATCTACAGCCTCACGTTTTCCACGTTAGTGGCTTGCGCTTCTCCTACTTGCCTGATGGGTGCAACCATGAATATTCACTCGGAGCTGAGATCCCCCTGTTGCCGAAAATAGCTATCATTAGCGCATGCGCTCTATCGCGTTTAAGGCGTCGTTAGTTGTTGGCCGCCTTTTCACCGCCGTTTTTTTAGCACCATCGCATGCCAGTAAATCACTGGTGGTGGATCTGTTTCATAGATGGGGCTCTGTGGCTTCCCCAGACGGCTGGCTCCCGCTCCACGGTTACCGTGGCGGCGTATCCGGCCAACTGCTTCATTGAACATTAAACCGCATGGTACAAAATGGAGTGCTTTCGTATTCGTAATAAAAGCCTGCTTGTTATATGGTGCCCCTTGTTTGTGCTGCCTGCTTCTGCTATTCTTTGCTCGCTTGACACAGTGCATGACTGGCAGCAGCTGCATCGTTCCAGGGTTCTGACACAAAGGACTTTTGTCCGTAATTGCTTAACCTGTGGCGTCGTCTGCTTCGTCATTCCGTGTTGGGTTGGCGGTATTGGTGGATGTCCTGGGCTCGCTCAAACAGTGGCGCAGCCTGGCTCAGGGGGGGGGGGGGGAAGGGGAGGTTGTACATATACCGTACCGCTTCCGTGCCGACATGGCCAGGGTGGCCAGTCCGACCTCTGCAGGGTCGAGACCCGGCTCCGGCCGCCCCGGGACTGTGTGAGGTCGAGCCACCTGCTTCGGCCGCCCCGGGACTGTGTGAGGTCGAGCCACCTGCTTCGGCCGCCCCTGGACTGTGCGGTGTCGGTACCCCGGCTCCGGCCGCCCCTGGACTGTGCGGATTCGGGACCCCCGGCTCCGGCACAGGACTGTGCGTCACACTGACCGGTCGCCTTGTTTGACAGGCCTTACATGTTCCTGCCGCTTCGGTAAGCCGCACGGGCCGACCGACCCGTGTGTTCACCCGGGCTCGCGCCCCGTGCGCGCCGCTTCTGCTCACACTCACAGGCGCGCTGACGGCGGACCCGTATTGGCATTGCGTGGAGCCATTTATTTTCGACCTTTAAAACACATGGGTCGCTGCATTAAAATAACCATTAAAACAGTAGACATCAAACACACGCTAGCGTTACAATTTGTGGTTTCTCTAACCGGATAACCTGTAAGCGGCTTGATTTTCGTCCTTTACCACGGAGCAAGAGTTTGCGGGGTCCATCTGTAAATTAGCATGTTCCCCTGGTTAGCGTCCGTGCGCGATGCCGACTAGAGCGACCGCGCTGAAGCCTCGACCAGAGCTGCGGGCAGCCGCGCTGGGGGCGCGTCTCCGGGTCCACCCGAGGGCCGCCGCCCGCCGACCAGAGCCTGCCTGCGGACCGCGGCACGGCTCAGGGCACCCTTGCCTACCCTGCCTCCGCCGGCGGCTCAGGCGGGCTCCGCTGCCGCCGGACCGCCGCTGTGTTCACAGGAGACTGACTGCCGGCTACGGTGTGTGACTGCGGTCGGCCGGTGCGTGGCGACTGCGGTCCCCAGCCACCAACTGGCGGCCGGCCCCGGCTGTGCTAACCATGGGGGCCGGTGCGCCGGTCTGTGACCAATCGGCCCGGGCTTACGGCCTGCCATCTGTTTCAGACAGCGTATGCTGAGTAAGCACCACTTTCTCCAGACATTCCTGCACGCCGTCCAGGTATGTCCCGTGGACAGAAGTCTCGCTGTTCCGTCACCGGTGCGACGAGGCGGCCGTACGCGTGTGTCGGGTCTGGACTGGATCAGCGCATTGGCGCTTTGACGGCACCCGCGATGCGTGGATTCGAACGTCCGCCTCAGGGGTCGCTTCCGAATGCCTGCGTTCTTATACAGCGCATGCTGAAGAGCGCAATCACTGGAGGATTGTGGATAGGGCCCGAGCGGTTTTTTAGTCCTGCTGGGGCCTGCGGAGGTGCGCCAGGACCCGCAGTATCGCGCCGCTGCCGCCTGAGCGTCCCGTGACCGGCCCTCTGCCCTCGCCAGGTGGTGGTCGGCTACTTCCTGATGCTGGCCTTCATGACGTACAACGTGTGGCTGGGCATAGCCATCGTGCTGGGTGCCGCCGCCGGCTACTTCATCTTCGGCTCCAAGAAGTTTGTCGTGGTCGACGTCACAGAACATTGTCACTGACGTCACGGGGCGCTGTCGCCGACGTCACGAGGTGTAGTCGCTGACGTCACGATGCGTCGTCGCTGACGTCATGAGGTGCTGTCACCGACGTCACGGGTGCCGCCGCTGACGTCACGGAAGGCCGTCACCAGCGGCGGTCCGGTGACGCGTCACGACCGGCCCCGACCTGTGCAGCCTCGCCTCCCCAAGCGACCGAGCTGCGCAGCGCCGACGGCGTCGCGTGGGTAGCTGGCGAGGCTGGGGAGCCGCCGCCTCCGGCACCTGCCCGGTGGGGAGGGCCGGACTGGCGTCACGCGCCGCCGGCCGGTCGCTGCGATCGTCAGGGAGCGAGTCAGCACGCGCTGGGACCTCATTGGACGGATGCGGCGCTCGTGTAGCGTGTTGTGGTACGTCTGCCACGCTGCCGGGTCGTCCAGCGGCGCTGAATGAGCTGGAGCGTGTCACAACAGGCGGCGAACGGCGTGCGTCGCCGCCCGGGAGCCGGCTCCGTTCTGAATCTGTAGACGGCTGTCCCGCTCGCCGGACGCCGGTATATGTGTCGCGAGTGTCTTTCAGCGGCTGGGGGCGCGTGTGGTACCGAGGGTCGTCGCGGCCCGCCATGTGTCTACCCCGCCATATCTGGTGTACGAGTTATTGTGTATGTACAGCTTGGGCCGCCGCACCGTGGCACCGTTGGAGTGACCGGTCGGTTCCGTATGCAGTAGTGCATGTTGCCTGTTGTGTGCGGAGGTGGGACCAATCACTAGCCAGTCCCGTGACGTGGCCCAATACAGGCGAACACACCACGCAGCTCTGCCCCGCATCGCCGCGCGGGCTCTGGCCGGTGCGGCACGTATATTAAAATAATCTCATTCTTCACCTGGCTAATTTGATGAACGAAAGCAATGAGCGAACACCACATCTCACCTCACCGCCGAGATCACCAGCACCAGTGCCTGGTGGAAAGACTACAATTTAACAGGCGTGTTAGTCCGCACCTAGTCTACACGTTGCTCCCTGGACGCCCTCCCTCCATTTGGCACTCGGGTCACACTGTGAGCGCGTAAATGCCATCGGCTCGCTGGGCGGCCGGCCTGCGACGGCGACGGCGTCTGAGCGCCGCGCCCGCCCGGGGTCGAGTTCGCTCTCTCTCTCGTCTCGCCTCGCCGGCGGCGGTGGCTGCGGTCCGGACCCTGCCCGGGTCCGGCGGCGGCCGTCTCACTGCTCGGCCGCCGCCGCCACCGCCGGCGGCGGCGCCAGGTTGTTCTTGGCGCGCCGCAGGATGTCGTGGGTCTTGCTGAGCTGGCGGTAGATGGCGCGCTCGACGCGCGCCTTGCGCTGGTCGGCGCGGCTCAGCTTGTCGAGCGCCTCCTGCAGGGCGGCGCGCGTGGTGGCCAGCTTGGAATGCATCTGGTCGCGCTCCTGTCGCAGCAGCTCCGTCTCCGACGTGGCCGGCTGCAGCTCGGAGACGGCGGCCGTCGGCGGGAGCATGCTGACGCCTGCACGGGTCCGGCCAGGTGTCAGTCAGAGCGGCGGCGCCACCGCCCCGTCACCGACGGACCCACACGAGACAGGGATGCGCCAACACGCGGCCTCCGTGCGCGGCGATGTCAGTCATCACAGACACGTACAGAGTGCAAGACACGCACATCGACCCCGCTGATCACTGTCATGGGTAAAGGCGCACGCCGAAAAAAGAACATAGAGAGCTCTCGACATCAATGACTGCAAGTTCTCCCCTGTCACAGCTCACGCACGTGTTACCGGTGCGCGACCCCTGGGCATTCTGGTGAGACACACCTTCGTCGTTGCGCCGTGCGATGCGTGACGAGCGCGGCGAGCGCTGGTTGCAGTCGGACTCGATGCCCAGGTCAGGGGACGAGTAGGTCGACGTGCGGTCGCTGTGGAGCGGGCCGTCGTCGTCAGCTGGCACGCTCCGGCGGCGCGCCGCGGTCCCGAGGGGCGCGCGGCATGACTGATGACTTTGTGTCCTCCCGTTGTTGGGGCCACATCGCTACACAGCGCCAAGCAGGTAGAAGTAATGGACAACTCTGCACCTGGCCGAGCAATGCCGGTTTTCATCGCGTACAAATGTCCCGATACGTAGTGGTGTAACTGTAACTGAAACATCTTGCAATATTCGAACCGAACAAAAACAGCGACACCACACACCGTCACAACGCCGGCCCGCCCGGCCCGGAGGTCCGGCCGCCGGCCGGTCCCCAGCCGTGTTACCTCTCGTGGTGCGCGTCGTGACCGTCCGACTCTGAGCCTCGCCTCCCGGCCGGGTCGGCGGGCGTGACGGGCGCCGCCGGCAGGTCGCAGCTGCGGGTCGACTCGGGGCAGGACTGGGCCGCGTCTGCCCGCACGCGGACCGGTTAGCTGACCAGCGCGCAGGCGGCGGTAAGCTGACGACCACGACCGGAGCGGCACCCTGGCGCGCGACCGCCCCAGCAGCCGGACGACAGGCGAACGCGGCGTCGCGGCGCGGTGTGCAGTAGCAGCATGAGTCGGTATTTTACACTGAGAGCGGCCGTTGGCAGCCGCGGTCTGTCGTAGTTCGATGTTTATCGCGGCATGGCACAGACTTTTGCGATGCTAGATTATTTGCATGAATCCCCACGAGTGGCAGACCCCAGCCCCAGTCAGCCCACCACAGCTTATCCCGCTCAGCCTAGAGTCCTTGCGCGTGCGGTTCCTATCCGCCGGCAGCGACGCCGGCGCCACCTACCGTCCAGCTCGTTGAGCTTGAGGCGCATGGCCTCCATCTCGGCGTTGACCTCCTCCAGCTGGGCGCTGACCTCGGTCAGCCGTTGCTTGTCGGCCTGCATGAGGCGGCCCAGCTCGGCCACTCGGCGCTCGCAGTGGCGGTGCTCCTCGGCCAGCCGGGCCTCGGCGGCGCGCGCCGCCTCGGCCTCGGCCTGCAGACGGGCGCGCGCCGCGCGGCCCGCCTCGGCGCCCGACGTCACCAGCTCGCGGCGCAGCCGGCCGCGCTCTTCGCGCAGCCGGACGATCTCCTGCTGCAGCCGCTCGCGCTCCGTCTCCCAGCCGGCCCACTTGGCCGCCTCCAGCCGGCGCTGCGCTTCCATGCGACGGCCCTCGGCCGCCGTGCGCCGCGTCTCGCCGTCCAGCAGGCAGCTCTCGCTGCGCAGCAGCCGGCCCCGGCTCGCCAGCTGCTTGCGTTCGCTCAGCAGCCGCAGCTTCTCGCGGTTGAGCTCCAGCAGCTGCGTCTCGCTGCAGCTGGCGCGCCAGTCGGCCGCCGGCTCGCGCTCCGGCTCGGTCGGCGTCTGCGGCCGCTGCAGCAGCTCCTCGCGCAGCTGCTGCACCAGCTGCTCCTGCTCCTGCAGCGCGCCGGAAGCCTGCTCCAGCTGGCGCTCCAGGCGGCGCACGGTGGCGCTCTCCCGCTCCTGGCGCCGGCGCCACGAGTCTTCCGACGTCCGCTCCCTGTCCGCCTGCATCTGGGAGGGCGAGGACAGGCGTCAGCCGCTGGCCGACTCAGGGCGGCCTCTCGCGACAGGAAAATAATGCCGATGACATCATGTCTCCTTCTCGCGCCGACGGCGGAAGCAGCCAGCCGCAAATGGGCAGAGAACAGAGCTGCACCTGACCTGACCCCACCTGCTCGAGGTCGTCACGTTAGCGGCGACCGCTCACCTGGCTGAAGCGCTCGCGGAGGCTGACCATATCGTCAGAGACGCGCACGAACTTGTCCTTGAACTCCTCGGCGTTGAGCTGCGCCAGTCGCAGGTTCTCCTTGGCGCGCGTCAGCTTGGAGCGCAGCTCGTCACAGCGCTGCTGCGTGGCCGCCAGCTTCTGGTTCGACTCGGTCAGCTCCTCCTGCGTGATCTGCCGGCGGACGGCAGGGGCGGGTCAGAGACACAGTCCGCGAGCCCACGGCTGGCACGCAACAGCACCTTGCGCCAGCCGATGGTGAAGCCATGGTAATGTAGGCACGGTAGGCCTGGGTCAATCTAGTTGAACCAGCTGCGCCTCACCATTTCTCTCCAGGACAGAACACAACGCGGCCACGACACGAAACAGCGGTTCGCCGACGCCAAAGTATTTGAAATATGGTTCAGTTCTAACAAAAAGTTCAGCACATCCAGCCTACGCATTACTCGGCAGCGCACCACAGCACCAGCGTGAGGCACAGCACAGTGAAGAGTTGGCGCCATAAGGGCTCCCCTGCGTCAGGGCCAAATGGCTGTGGGGCACCGGCACGCCCGCCCAGAGCGCCCCTTCGGCGCCAGCCTGCTCACCTTGAGCGCCAGCGCCAGCTCGCCGTGCGGCGCCTGCTGGGCGCGCCGCGGCGAGAGCTCCATCTGGCGGCGGATGCGCTCGTTGGCGGCGATGGCGCGCTCCAGCTGCTGCTGCAGGCTGTGGATCTCCGTCAGCACCTCCAGCGGCACCATGACGCCCGTCTGAGGACCGCGGCGGCGTCAGCACACGGACGGCGGGCGCCGAGCCCGCCCCTCCGTTCACAGCTGGTGTGAGAATACAGTGGTCCGACGTGGCGTCAGCTGAACTTTATGTCGCGTCTCGCCAAAAGGTTGCCGTCAGGTGACAGGAGGGTATGGAACGAAGCGTGCAGGGTAACAACCAAATATCGAGCCATGTAGGCCTAGTAAATTTACCGCATCAACCATGAACCATGAGGCATTGTACTGCAATATATCCAAGCCAGCGAGTTAGAGGCATCGAACACAACCCAGTGAACGATACAGAAATGGTCTGAGCGCCTGCCTGGTTCGGTTGGCTGTCGGGCTGCTTGGCCTTGTGTCCGCCGGCGGGCAGCATCTTCTGGTAGATGTCGACCTCAGCTCGCAAGGCGCTCTTGACCTGCTGTAGGCTCTCAATCTGCGCCTCGAGCTCCTGGGCCTCCTGCGAGCCCGTCTTCTGGCGGCGGCGCGCTGTGGGGAGGGGGGGGGGGGGGCTTAACAGGGGCGCAGTACGGTTAGCGGAGGACGGACTTTAACCTATGTGGGATAGGTCATAGTTGCCGTTATCTGGGCGGTTAGAACGGATCGGGACGGATCAGAGAGATAGCGGCCAACGCCCCAAGTCTGGTGCAGGTCAGTGAGGCAGCAACGCGGTAGGCTTTCCGATATCTTGCATGTTGGTTAAGTTAACTGAAGCATTAGGAGTTACGTCACCTGGATAATTCCATAGCCTCCGCATCGTACGCTTTGGAAGATCTACGGAGTAACTGGACACTGCTTAAATGAAAATCGGCAGGCATTACAGCTTCACAGAATGCTGTTCACGAAGATCAGCCTAAGCGGCCCGAGCGGCAGCCGAGCTGTGCCGTGCCGCGCGGCCAGGCCGGACGGCGCGAGGTCCACTCACAGCGGCGGGCGTCCGTCTCGGAGGGCACGCCCAGCCAGGACTCTGTGCGCGTGCCGAGCGAGCTCTGGTCGAGCCCGATGCGCGCCAGGCTGATGTCGCGGTCCGGCTCTGACCACGCCTCCGACTCGCTGAAGTCGCCTGGCGCCGGCGCCGGCGGCAGCAACAGCGGCGGGTCGAGTGCCGCGTCTGGCGGCGCCGGGCGCGGCGGTCAGCAGTACGGCCTCAGTAGCGCGGGCCTGCGCGGCCAAAACACGGCGACGCGGCACGACACGGAGACGGAACGGCGGAAGCGTCGCTGGCAGCTACACTTGGCAAGGGCTATAAGACACTGAGGTTGCGTCAGCAAAATGGCCGAGGGTACGTCAAGCAGCACCGCTACACGGCTGCCACACGGCGGTGTAGATCTGTTGCAGTGCAGCGTACGAACCGCTCACTGAATCCAGAAGCACGCCCACCACTCTACCCACTGGACCCTGCATACCAGCCGCCGAGACCCCACGGCCGGCAGCGGCGGGTCTCCGTCGCCGTAACTCACCCTGGGAGCGCGGCCGGCCTGCGGCCGGCGCGCGGACTGCGGTGCACCTCGCGGGCCGTCTCTGAGTCGTCCGACTCGGCGGCGGCGGCGGCCGGGCCGGATCGGACCCGAAGCTCGCCGGACGAGCGGCTCGGCTTGGGCGGCCGGCCGGCCGAGCGCAGCTCCAGCAGCTCCGCCGACTGGGCGCGCGCCAGGCCCAGGATCGGGCTGAGCGCCCGCTCCACGGTGCGCCCGGCGGGCGCAGTCTCGGCGCCGCTGGCCAGCTCCGTGGTGCGCTGGCGCAGGACCAACGAGCGGATCCGGTCGCGCACGTCGCCGGGCAGCGCGTCGCAGAGCGCGGCCGGCAGCGGCGCGTCGTCGGCCTGCTCGGCTTCCTCGGCGCTGGCGACTTCCCCCTCGGGGCTCGCCACCTGTCGGCCCTGCGCGCGGCCCAGCTCGTCGCGCAGCTCGACGACCAGCTGCGCCTGCCGCCGCAGCTGTTCGTCGCGGCTCTCCAGCTGAGCAGTGAGCGCCTCCAGCCGGGCGCAGCGGGCATCCAGCCGCTCGCGCAGCTCGAGCACCGTCTGCTCGATCGGCGCCGGGTCCGGCTCTCCTGCCTGCGCCGCCGCCTCGGACGTGTTCGGCGCCGGGGCCGTCTGTGCCGCCGCCTCGGACGTCGGCGGCGACGGCGCTGGCTGTGCGGGCGGCGCCTCGGCAGGTGGCTCCACCACAGCGGTGTCGGGTACGGCAGTCGCCGCCAAGTCCGACGCGGGCACGTCAGACGGCGCCGACTGCGCGCCGTCTTCGGGCTCAGCCGCAGCACGCGACGAGTTCGGCTTCTGGACCACCACAGCCGCCGTCGCCTGCGCCTTCGCCTCAGCCAGCGCCGGGACGTGCAGCGACGACTGGTCGGCGGCCGGCGGCGGCGCGTCCAGCGACGTGGCGGAGGCGTCGAGCGCCGCGTCCGCGCCCAGCAGCAGCGACTGCGTCAGCGACTGCGACAGCTCGCGGCTCTGCAGCAGCGACCGTTGCAGGTCCGCCATGTGCTGAGCCGTGAGACAGCTGAGGTCCAGCAGGCCGCGCTCCTCCAGATTGAGCAGCATCTCCATGAAGTCAGCCAGCTCCTCGAGCCGGCGCTGCAGCAGCTCGCAGGCGCCGTGCGAGTCAGCCAGCCGGCGCCGCAGCCGCCGCTGCTCGCGCTCGTGCCGTTGCAGCGCCTCCTTGTACTGCTCCCACGTGGGCGCCGTGATGGTCAGGTCGAATTTGTCGCGCAGTGCGCGCGCCTCACGCTCATGCTCGCGCCGCTGCTCGTCCATGTGGCGCAGCAGGGCGGCCTTCTCGTCGTCGCGTTCGGCCAGCAGGCAGCGCGCCTGCCGCAGCTCCTGCTGCTGCCCGGCGGCCGCCACCAGCTGTCGGTCACGCCCCTCCAGCTGGTCGCGCAGCTCGGCGATCTCGTTCAGCTGTCCCTCGGCCAGCGTCAGCTCGCGCTCACGCGCCGCCAGCGTCTGCCGGAGCTCGTCCAGTTCGGTCAGCTGTCCGGTCACCTCGTCCAGCCGCTGCTCAGCGGCGTGCAGCCGCTGCGGCAGCTCCGAGAACTCAGCCAGCTGCAGGCCGGCAGCGGCTAGCTCGCGATCTCGCTCGGCCAGTGTCTGGCGCAGCTCCTCCACCTCCTCGCCGCGTGCCTCCTGCTCGGCCAGCAGCCGGTCGCGCGCGAGCAGCTGGTCGCGCAGGTCGGCCAGCTGGGCGCGCAGTAGCTGCGCCTTCTCGGGACCCAGCTCGCTGGTCTCGGAGCGCGCCGCCGACTCGGAGCTATCGGCGGCCATCTCACCGGCGCCGCCAAGTTCGGCCGCTTCGAGCGAACCAGACCGCCGCGGCGCCGCTAACTCTGCGCACAGCTCGCCCAGCTCATGGCTCAGTCGCTGGCGCAGCTGCTGCGCAGGCAGCGGCTCGTCCAGCAGGCGGCGTTGCTGCAGCAGCCGCTCGCGCAGCCGACCGATCTCCGAGTCACGGTCGCCGACCAGCAGCGTGGCGTGCGCCAGCTGAGAGCGCAACGACTGCACCTGAGGGAGGAGAAGGACGTCAGACAAAGGCAGTGGCAAATGGCCCGACGAGGACAAACAGGACGGTATCCAATCGCATGAAATAAACCGTCATCCACGCACCCACCAGGCATAGGCCAAGTATCAGTATTCTAGTGGCAGCGACTGACGGTAGCCTACATCAAACCTGACAGAATGCGACGCTGCGTGAGTGTATGGGCCATCACGTGGCAACAAGACGCCCTGAGCCCAAGCTTGGAGCGCGTTCACCGGACGCGAGCGGTCACCGCGGCAAGGCGACGGGCGCACCTCAGCCTGTGCCTCCTGCTGGGCGGCGGCGGCGCGCTCCGCCTCGGCGCCGACGCGCGCCAGCTGCTCGCGCGCCTGGCGCAGCTCCAGCCCGCTGGCGGCCAGGTGAGAGTCGCGCTGCTCCAGCTGCAGCTGGAGGGCGGCGCCGGCGCCGGCCGCCGGCTCCCGCTCCTTCAGCTGCGTCAGCAGCCGCTGCGGGCGGTCACGGCAAGGTCAGACACGGCGCCGGCCGGAGCGGCTGACCGGCCTGTCGGCTGGTCAGGAGCCAGTGGGGAAGTGCACGAGGGACCGCTGGGCCTCGCACACATGCGAACTGCTGAACGGGGACACACGGGGTCATAAACGACCGATGGTCAGGTATCAGACATGAGATTGCAGCCCATGTGTATCAACGGGTACATGCCGGAGGTGTTCAGATGAGCTGCAGGGACCGCTGGCTGCAGGAGCTGGACCAAGGGAGGGCATCACCACTGAAAATCCACACCCACACAGGCGCGCCTCAGGCAGCGGCCGATGACACACATCGTCCCTGGCAGGGAGCCCCCTCAGCGCCCCTCGCCGCCGCCGCCGGTCAGACCAGCCGGGACACCTCACTCCCGCCCCTTCACCTGTGCGCAGCACCCCACTCGCCGTCGCCGCCCACCTGAATCTGTCGCTCCTTCTCCAGCACCAGCTCCATCTTCTCATCCTGCAGCTCCTTGATCAGCTTCTTGTTCTCCTCCAGCTCGGTCCACAGCCGCTGTCGGCCCACAGCGGCAACCGGTCAGTGCCGGCCCGGGCTGGCACGCGAGGCACCGCCACACAACGGGGACCTTCGTAAGGCGCTTCACACATCAGAATGTCAGCCTGCGGTGACGTAGTCACGGGGATCAAAACCGTTCACGAAAGCACCGGCGTTTCTTTTGCTTCGGAGGAGCGAGGCGCAGCTACGAAGGCCACGCAGGGCGGGCGGATGTGGGGAAGGAAACGGATCGGCGCGAGAGGAGGGCAGGAGCGAGAGAGAGCGGGGCGCCGCCGAGCCGCGCTACCTCGTTCTCCTCCTCGGCCACCTCCTTCACTTCCCATCGGTACTTCATCAGCATGTCGTTCATCTCCTTCATCTCGGCCACCATGCTGCGGATCTTCTTGTCCTTGCGCTGCGTCTCGGAGCGCAGCAGATAGACCTGGACCTCGTGCGGGGAGAGCGCCGAGCGGCCGGCCGGTGGCGGCGGCGAGGCCGGCGCGCCGCCCGCCGGCGGACTCGGCGGCTGAGGACAAGGACCGGTGAGCGGGCGGGATGGGGGGGGGGGGGGGCGAGGCTCGGCGCGCAGAACAGACTTACCGGAGGACGGGGCGTCGCGGCGGCAAAGCCAGCTGGGGGCCAGGCGAGACGGTGCCCGGCCAGCCTGCGCGTATGCTCCGGCCAGTCACAAACAGCATGCACCGGGAAGCATTGTCTTCGCGACAGCAAAAGCAGAACAGCGGCATGCATACGAGACCACGAATCGGTACATTACAGCTCTCATGCATGTTACTCGGGGCAAATGTTTGCTCGTGCAGAACAGAACCACATCGCCAACGTCGTGCTCAATAGGACAAGATGCGAGCAGCCTCCTGATTTGTTTGCTGAGCCATGCGCACGGGGCCTCCGTTATCTCCCCGACACGCCAGACCCGGACCATCCGTCGGCGTCAACAGCTTCTCATAGCTGACATCGCGCGTCCGAGGCCCACGGACCAGTCTCCGTCTCAACACTCTGGCAGCCAGCCAAGCGCAACCAACGTGCACGCACCAAAAGCCGTTCGCTTCAGCCAACACTCTTCACGAAGCCCTTCAGCGTGCAGCGCCAAGCACCAAACCAAACCACGCGGCAAGCTCTCCTTCCAGCCGGACAACAGTAGCCTCGCCGGCCGCTAACGGGTCGCGACCGCTGTGCCCCGCCCCCTGCCAGCTCCACGCCCCAGCGCACCGGCGGCCGCCGCGCTCAGCGTGTGGCGTTGGGGCCGGGCCTGCGGCAGGCGGCGTGCCGGTCGTGGCGACGTACCTCGCCGGCGGCCGACGGCTCGGCGCCGCTGAAGCAGCGCGCCACCACCTGCTGCATGTCGCGCTGTTCGGCGATCAGCGTGCGGATGTGCTCGGCGCTGCGCCGCTGGCCGCGCCGGGCCGCCTCCAGCTCGGCCTTGCGCTCCACCAGCTGCGCGCCGACCGTCTGCAGCGAGGCCGACAGGGTGGCCTCGTTGGCGGCCGCCACTGTCGGGGAGGAGGCGCGTCATTCGCCGCTGGCAGAGGCGGCCACCGTCTGCAGCAAGGCCGACAGGGCGGCCTTGTCGACGGCCACGGCCTTGCCAGGGATGAGGCGCGTCACTCATTGCTGGCAGAGGCGACGACATTGTCCTACTGGCGCGACGACATTGTCCTACATTGACCGGGCAGGCTCAGCTAACTCACCTCCGATCAGTATCCCACTGGACGTAATCCATGATACATGCAAAATAAAACCGGATCTGGCGGATCCATCCGCCAGCTGGCTCCTGTGAAACTAGAACAATGCGTTGAGCCACCACTGCCATGATCATTCATTACACACATTCCGCCCGCATCGCCAGCGTGTTTGCCGGTTGACCGCACGTGGCACGCCCAGCCTGGATGCTGGCCGACTCCCCTGGCGTGGTCTCACCCTTGAGCCGCTCCTTGGCCGCCTCCACTGCCAGCTCCATCTCCGCCAGCCGCGCGCCGTCGGCCGCCCGGCCCGCCGTCAGCTGCTCGCAGGTGCGCTGCAGCTCCTCCAGCCGCGGCTGACCGTCCTCCTGAGGACGGGCACGAGGGTCAGAGGTCACAGAGGAGGGCTGCAGCCCCTCCAGCCGCGGCTGACCGTCCTCTTGAGGACAGGCACGAGGGTCAGAGGTCACAGAGGAGCGCTGCAGCTCCTCCAGCCGCGGCTGTCCGTTCTCCTGAAGAAGGGCACGAGGGTCACAGGTCACAGAATAGCGCTGTAGCTCCCCGGCGATGACGAGTCAAGGATCAAGGGTCACACAGATCACTGCCGTTATCAGAGCGGCAAAATGCCGTTAACATAACGCTGTTAAACTTCACCAGCTGACATTAATTGTTGCCAACATTGCAAATGGTCCTCTAGTGGCTTTGTTGAGGCCACTTTGGGATAAGCGCTGAGAACGCCCCGTTCGGATGTCGCCTCACGCTTCCACAATAGATCCCGGAGACATTAATTGCTCGTTACTACTGCGTCATGTCCATAGCAGCGCTGCTCACTCTTAGTCATCATCCCAGAATCCCAATGTTAATACAGCACGGTACCACGAATGGATGCAAAAAACAGGAGATGGTCCGCGTGACACGAGTGCGACAACAGACCGACACTGTGGAACATGACAGGGTTAGCATCCGCATACTCAGAAGGCGACAGAAAGCCACGCAGCTGGCTACGCACCCGCATTGCAACTCAACTACCTCACCACGGCAACATCAAAGCGAACTCGCAGCAGCGAGTGGCCGGGCGCCAGGGGACAGGGGGGATGAGGGGGAGGGGTGGGAGGTGGATCTAGCACAAGCAGCTGGTGAGCGGCAGGAACAAAGTGCACAAAACGAGCGCTGGAGAGAGGAAGCCACACAGAGAACCAGTCACAAGTCCACCTCAAAGGCACGGGTGCAGTAAACCTAGCGTGACCAAGGCCTCTGAGCGTACAAACGTACAATAACAGCCTAGCAACTGCCTTCTAAAAACTGGTGTTTTGCACGGGAAGAGGGCAATAAACAACGGCATACTGGCAGACACGAGCTACTATTTGGAGTTGCTGCCTTCGCTCCGGCCCAGCCCAGCCTAGTAACCGGCTCACCTGGGCCAGCTTCTGGCGCAGCTGCTCCGCCTCGGTCGCCAGCTGGTCGCGCTCGGTCTGCCGCTGCTGCAGCTGCTCGGCCAGCTGCTGCAGCTCGCGGCTGCGGTCGGCCAGCTGCTGCGTCTCGTCGGCCAGCTGGCTCTCGGCGTGCTCGGCGCGCTGCACGAGCCGGGCGGCGGCCGAGCGCGACTCGTCCAGCTGGCGGCGCAGCAGGGCCGCCTCGCTGTCGCGCTCCTCCACCGTCTGCCGGCGGCGCGCTGGTTCAGCCGGCCGGTCCAGGACAACAGCGCCGGAGCACCGGCCGACAGACGTCCGTACCACACCCCCGCCACTCAAAACAATGAGCTTCCAGTGCAACAAGCCTATTTTTCAATTATCGGGGAATGGTTGTGTAAAATGAGGTGAAATGTCTTCACAATGATGACATGTTGGTGACTTTACATTCACCTTTCAAAGTATTTTCAAAGCTCTAAGTTGTCACATATGCATGCACATGAGAAAAATGTTGTGGCGTCCTTGCCCCTCCTTCCTCCCCAGAGCCAACCAGCAGTACACACGTGATCCGGTGCGACAGCTGGACCATATTGCATTGGGCCGCCGCCACCCACCTCCTTCATCTCGCCGAGGGCCCGCTGCAGCTCAGCCATCCTGGCCTCGAGCGCGCCCAGCTCGTCCTGCGAGCGGCAGGCGGCGTGGTCCACCACCAGCGGCTCGAACGCCTTCAGGTAGGGCTGGTCGGCGGCCCGCTCGGCCAGCGCCGCCCGCTCCCGGCTGGCCAGCTCCTGTCGGCGCCGGCAGCGGCACGCGGTCAGACGGCGGCGCCACGGCAACCGCTCGCGCTCGTCACCGAGACGGCTGCAGAGCGCGGCCTGCCGCGCCGTCCCGGGGGCCGCGGCCGGGCTCATTGCTTGTCACACGCAAAAATGAGACGCATACATTGGTCGTCCATATCGCCAGTTGGAGGAGACAGTCCGGCGGGAATGACGCGGCTGCCAGAGCGCTGACCCGCCGCCGTTGTCGGGGCCGGCGGCCGCTCACTGACCAGCGCCTGCTGCAGCTCGCGGACGCGCTCCTCCAGCTGCTGCCGCTCTGCCTCGAACTCCTGCTGCTGGCGCTCCACCTCGGCGCCGTACTGCTGCTCCAGGTTCTCCAGCGTCTCCGAGGCGCGTCGCAGCAGGTCCTTCTTCTGGCCCAGCTCCTCCCGCAGGGTGGCCAGTTCCACCTGCCGAGGA